TGGGAAGCTGCGAGAATCACTTGAGAAACTACAATGCTACCTCTCTGTGTGCCAAATAAAGTATTTTTTTCACCTTGTATTGTTTTCGATGCAGTGTCGACGAAGGTCTCATTTGCTATGCATACTCGACATTAGAAATAGAAAAGAGCCTAGAAAAATGGTTCAAAATCGCTTTTCCTCAGCAAACTTTTCACTCCATTTTTTGACATTCCCAGAAATGCATAGCAAAAACGAAACCCATTTTTGTGATCCTTATATGGACCCCTACAACATGCAACAAACCATTTCTAAAAAGCGCGCCATGACCTGATGAAAGACCTCCCTTGTAAGAAAGCGGTTTCGGATGAATTCCTCGTTGGCATCATGCCAATAACCGCTACGGTAGATACGCTGCATGTATGCACTCATATATCCATGCAGCACCGCAGCCGCTTCATATCAATCCCTTCGCTTCATATTGTACTTCGCAAATGAAGCGATACGAGCATCAGCATCGGTCGGACATTTGTGGACGGGGGGGGGGGGAGGCGGTGGGCGTCTCATATATTGCAGCTTGATAGGGCGCTAAAGGGTACCTCCCTTGAAGAAAGGGCCAAGCAGCGCCTGCTCAAGAGCGCCGAATTCTGTCCTGCTAGGCATATTAATCCTGAACTTCTTAGGAATTTATCTCGCTATCTTTGAGACAAGTTGGTAACACTCAGTAAACGATTTAATAGAGGGCACATCATTGTTTGGGGATTTTAGTCAAGTCCGTGCGACACCCCTCCTTTTTTTGGGGGTCAGTACGACCTCTCCCCCCTCCGGCCCTCTGTTCCTCGTAGAATCGAGCTGTCGAGCGGGGAGAGGGGGGGGGGAGGGGATATATAGTACGCATGAAACAGGAAAATCACGAAAAGTCAACCACCACTCCCACCACTCCTAGAAAGGCCAGAAAGTAAATACGACCCCCCCCCCTCCCTTTTACAACGTCCGTGAAGCGAGAAAATCAACTATCAAAATAAATTTTTCTCAGCCCAAATACGACCCCCCTCTCCTGGCGGCCAAATACGACCCCCCTGTTGGGGATTCCCCAACAACGATGTGTCTTGTTTAAAACAAGTTTTCGATGAGCTTCTGTTTGTATCCAACCATTTTATTAACTGCACACCCTTAAGGATTGTATTCGATGGGAAGGTTCTTTCTTCGGACCATACCATCTCCTTGGAACCATTCACGACGGAATTGCTTGGCTGCACCATCAGGGGTGTTGCACCATTCGACGGTAATACGGTCGTTGTTGGTGTCCTCACGACCGTAGTCGAACATATCGCAGGAGACAGCCATGGGGTGGACTCCTTGGGGTCCAATACACCACAGGCAGGTACACCCAGCCTGTGGTGTATGGGTTTGTGAGCACTATAACGTGCGAATGTTAAAGCACTTTGTTTCCCGATTCGTTACCCAGCAGCATACGCGCCCCGTTTTGTTATTAAGGACTGAATCGTTATAGGCAAAGCCCACAATCATTGGCCATCGCATATAGTGGACTAGTGGCTTGCATATAGACGATAAGCTTCTGATGGTGAGCAACTCCATAGTGAAGAAAAAAGCAGAAAGAAACATGCCAACTACCCTAGACAGAACCCCATTCCGATCCAAGTTCGTACGTGCCCTCTGCTGAAACTTTGCTGAAAGCTCCTTTCGGCCATACGATTTTGAGAAGCAACTCATGATTTGAGAACGTTATCCACTATATTTTTCCAAACTTCTGACGTTGATTCGAACTCCAATTTCTACAGAACCATAGGGAGTCCTTCCCGTTGAAATCATTCCTATGCGAATCGTCATGGAATGGTGATAATTTGATTTCCCCTGGAGACTGTCTTTGTGGGTAGAATCAGTGGGCGTTTCTCTGCTGATCTGCTCAGTTTAAGAGTTGAAGACTGGATTCAAAAAGGGGAAGTTTTTCAAAAGAGAAAAAAAAGGAAAACGTGGTGTAAAAACTGAACTTGTGACAGTAATTAGCTTTTGAGTTTCGGTGGGCGGGACAGCTGGAGAGGCGTCAGAAATGCCTTTTTGTGAGGACCACAGTGCCTTCGTCACTTACTGTGAAGCCGCGAAAACGGGATAACCTTAATGAGGGCCAGACCACTTATGCAAAGCGCTCGGTGCTCGAGCGCGGGGACCGTCTTTGAGCGTTCATCTGAGCATTCATTTAGACCATTTGTCGGGGTGTGGAAAGGACCTTGACGATTCGATACGTTTGCATCCCTTTTTCATGGGTTTCATGAAGGCGGCTTGTATGCTAAGAGGGTAAACGATTTTATACTTCCGACTTATTTATTGCAGAACCCTCAAGCATGTACACAGATTGGGGCGGTGGTGGACGGACTAGAGCTGATTTTATGCTTGTAGTCAAAAAGTAGAGATGTAACGCTTTCTTATGGCACATGTCATTTGTCGTCACTTTGTGGAAGTCTCATGGGCCTACCAAACGAATCTCGAGGTGGTGTTCCAGCAGTTACACGTAA